AATCTTTAGTTGGTAGTCAAATCCCCAAATAAGGATACTTGTAGAGTCGTGCCACTATATAGAAAAAAGAAAAATATCAATTTTAATTTTTTTTACTTACACTATGGTAACTAAGTATCATGTACATATTTTTTGTCCATTATAGTGATTTTTCTTATCTTATCTAGTTTATTATATCTCACAATGTAATTGATCAATGGCTTCACTTTAGTTTCTATTGCAAGATTATTTATATGAAATTTTATATTAAGTTTATGATTCCTTCAGTATTTTTAGAATAAAGTATGAAAATTTATAAGTACTTACTAATTTTTCTTGTACTTTTCATGAATAATATTTTTTTAATTAGGACATAATTTATAAGTACTTACTAATTTTTCTTGTACTTTTCATGAATAATATTTTTTTAATTAGGACATAATTGTTTAATATGTTCTTCAAGGAGAACTCGGTTAGTGCTCCTTTGCTCGATATGCTTTTTATCAATGTCAATTCAGGTGATTCATGAATGTTTCTGAATTTTGAGTTTATTTCCTTCACTTCTCCATTTGAAATGAAAACAACTTCGTTCTTTTAAAGAATATCTCTGAACTTTTTGATAGTTTCTCCATACATAACTCCTTGTATTTTTTTTACTTTATAAATAAATATTATTAACATAAGAGATAAATGTTTATACATTATAATCAATTAATGCTAACCTATTATATCTTAATATAATAATATCAAACAGAGATAAATGTTTATACATTATAATCAATTAATGCTAACCTATTATATCTTAATATAATAATATCAAACATTTCCTCTTTTCTTTGCCCAATTAATGCTAACCTATTATATCTTAATATAATAATATCAAACATTTCCTCTTTTCTTTGCCAAATTTCAGCCTTTTTCTGATTTGAACTTTTGAGGGTGTGTTTTGTAATTTTTAAACTTTAATTGTATTTATGAAAATTTTAAATTTTAAGTTAGGCGCTTATAATTTTCATGTTTCATGTATTGGTGATAAGTTTTTAAATGTTAGAATATTTCTCATAACTCTGAAAATTTGAAGATATTTTTATAATTACAAAAATTTTGGGCTGTTTTTTAAAAATTTTAAATTTTTAGTAATCTGCTGATAATTTCTAAATTTGATGTGTACCAATTATAAGTTTTAAAATTTAGGATTTTTTTTAATAATTTTTTACTTTTGAGAGAGTTTTAGTAATTTTTGTAACTTTGAGGTTATTTTTTTACTAATTTAAAATTTCTATGTGCCTAATGGTAATTCCTGGAATCCATCTATGTTGTTTCTAAGTTTTAAAATATCTGAATTTTAGAATGTTTTTTTTATAATTTAAACATGGCTAAATGGCATTTATATACCCTATTGTTTTGCTCTTGTAGTAGTTATATACCCTAAGTTATAAAACATAGCAAAAAAATACTCTGAGTTGGTAACTGTTTAAACTAACGGTGTTAAAAAATACATGAAAGGATAATTAAAGAGGAAGAAGAAGTTGGAGGCCACGAAAAAAAATGATGATGATGAAAATAATCTAATTTGCGGGGGGGGGGGGGGGGGGGGAAGGGGGGGGTAGGTAATATAGTAAATAATACAATAAATGAGGGTAATTTCAAGTTAGTCATAGGTCCAGTACGTGGGAATATTTCAGAGAATATTCTTACAGCTAGTTAATAGAATGTACCAACTTGCAAAATTTTGCCAACTCATGGTATTTTTTTGCTATATTTTGTAACTTAGGATATATAACTGCTTCAAGAGCAAAACACATATGGTATATAAATGTAAAAGCCTTTAAACTTTTGATGTTGTTTCTACAAATTTTAAAATGTTGAGGGTGTTAATTACAAGTTTTACATTTGTAGATATCATGTTTGTTTTTTAGTTTAAAAAAGTCAAGGTGTTTTGTGTAATTTTGAACTTTAAGGCTATTATATGCAATTTTTAAAACTTTTGGATTTTTTATAATACTTCATGTATTATAATATGTTATCTACATATAATTTCTTAATCTTATTTTTTTTCTTCTATATTTTTGAGCTATAGGTAGTTCATATGGAGTTAATATAGGATATAATTAGTATTTGGATAGATTAAGGTTTAAGTGAAATATTCAAAATAATTTTTTTAAAAATTGTTGACCTATAGATAGTTCACGTGGAATTAAATAAGATATGATTAAAATTAGAATAGATTAGGATAACAATGTAATATTCAAAAAAAAAGCTAAGAATAATACTGACCATAGAAAGATTTTCCTGAACTCGTATTTTTAAAGGGAAAATATGATATTTACTAAACATTTTTTTTTTACATTTTTATAAGCATTTTGGAAAATAAGTAGCACCTTATGAAGTTTTGAAAAATAATTAGCAGCCAAAGGCGTTGTAGCTGCAATTTGCATTAATCATTGAGTGGTGTTAGGGGCACACCACCCACCACAACCCCAACCACACTCTCTCCTCTTATTGCTACAGTAAACCGGGCCTCACATGAGATTTTAAAAAATTTAAAATCCAATGTGAGGCCCGGTTTACTGTACCAATGAAAGGGGGAGTGTGGTTAGGGTTGTGGTGGGTGGTGTGCCTCTAACATTATTTTTAATCATTCTTCAATCTAATGGTGGAACAGAAGCGAATTTTGCTCGTCAACCAGATTCCGGTGGGCCCACATTAGTACAGTTTGCTGGAGAGTACAGGTTCTCCGGCTGGGCCCCATCAAGAGAACGCAAAGAGTCGGTGCCGCGATGAACGCGACGTGGCCCCTGTTTTCCTCAGTTAAGAAGATTACACGTGGCTCATCCCCGGTCGCACGATCACACACAGTTCGTCTTCTTTCTCTTTTATATTCTTCCTACTTGTTATATTAAAAATATATTCTCAATTGTTTTCCGTAACATTTATATATATTAAAGTTGTTTTAAAAGCACTCTCTACCATGCAAATATAAAAAATTTTCATATCTACATAACATTTAACTATTAATGTTTGTTAAATTTATCTATATACTAAAACAAATAAGTCTACCACTGTTCCTAAGCACAGTAGCACCTAATAGTTTGGTATGAAAAAATTTAGTTTTACTCATTAGTCCAAGCTTTAATCTAAGGTAACTTTTTAGCCCAAAAAGAACTACACCGCACCAACTTCCAAGACAGTGTAGGAATAACGGCTGCCAACTAGCATAATATAATAATACTAGTGTGTGCCCCGTGCGAAGCACGGCAGCTTATTTTTTTCTATCATTGTATTTTAAATTTGTGTCTCTCTAAGTTATAATACATTTAATTTGATTATTGTATACTTAAAATTAAAAATTATAAATCATATAAAAATATATGTTACCAATAATATTGTCATCTGATGCTTGTACATTCTTCCTCTAAAGAATATAAGGTCAACTCTAAATTTTTTAGTTTAAGAATATAAAATTTAATATATTACTAAATTAGCCGAATATCTCTTTTCAAAGTTTTGTCAATGGCAAAATTTTATAGCCAATTACTATTCAAGAGGTCATTTTATTTTGTATCTCGAGGGAGAGTTCTTTTGGAAAAGTAAAGTAGCTTAAATTAATCTTGCTATTATCTATTTCTTCATCTTCCATTTTTCTTGTTGTTCTACAAAAGAAAGTAAGTCTTTATAGTTACAAATTCTCTTTTAAGTTGAAATTCCTATGCAATTTATTAATAGTTATTTGTGAACTTGTCCTTTTCATTTATTGTTATTGTCCACATTTTTCAATATAACACTGTTTAGAAGGTTAAAATGAGTATGTGAATAAAATGAGTAGTATGTGAATAAAAATATTGATGGCTACTGGTGTAGCGACATGAATACATTACATACAGGTCTCTTCAGATGAGGATAAAATGAGTAGTATGTGAAGTACATGTTCTGGCATGGGTTCTTTTTGTTTGAGCTTAATGACGGATGGCTTTCTTTAGGACTCAATTCTGGTATAGGTTCTTTTTGTTTATGTTTATCAGATGAGAAATGATGATGATAACAAACTGAGAATGCATCCTATATTAATTATGTAATGTTTAGGCAAGGCAATTTTGTGTGGAATGCAACCTATATTGATATTACAATGTTTGGCTGAGGTAATCCCTCAGAAGAGCATCCTACTTTGCATCATAGTTTTATAGGAGAGGCAATCTTTTATGACCAATCTATTTATATCCTGAGCCCTAGTAAGTATGCATGGATTTTGGTGCTGATTTCGAACTTGTTTAGCTCTATTTTGTGTAGGATTGGTGTTATTTTGAGCTCTGTTTGAGTGGTGGTGATATTTTTGATGTTATCATGCTGATTTCGGGCTTGTTTAACTCTATATTTTGTGTAAATAGGTTCGGTTTTGAGCTCTGTTTGAGGTTCAGTGTTGATTTTGATATTTTCATGCTGAATTCGAGCTTGTTTAGCTCTATTTTATGTGGGAATTGGTGCTATTTTTAGTTGGTACTGTTTTTGATGTGATCATGCTGATTTCGAGCTTGTTTAGCTCTGTATTTTGTGTAAATAGGTTCAGTTATGAGCTCTGTTTGAGCTAGTGTTGCTGTTTTTGTTATATTCAAGCTGATTTCGAGCTTGTTTAGCTCCATGTTGTGTGGAATAGGTGCTATTTTTGATATTTTGATGCTGATTTCGATCTTGTTTAGGTCTATTTTGTGATACTTTTCGTTTAGTTTATTGCTCTATTTTTGATGTGATCATGCTTTATAATTTTAATTGTACAATAATAATATGTAATTAAAACTAAGAGGGGTGTTCCAGGTGCAATGCTAGAAAAGAGGTGAGGGTCGTGCTTTGCACGGGGTGCTGAAATTCAGTCTATCTCCTTAGTTAGCGACTACATGAATATGTAACTAATACCAGTTATAACATGTTTGCTATGGCAATTTTCACAAAAATACCCTTGTTATGTGTCAGAAGTATCCTCACAGAGAAATATCACATATTGATGTTAAAATGTTTTCTAGGTGTACCTCTTCAAATGCCCAGTCATCTTGTTGGTCATGGGAATCACCAGCCTTCGGAGACCATATGAAGCCTTCTATCATACCAGTAAACATGTTTATCTTATCCCCCAATACAGCTAACTCCCTCCATCCTCTCTGCCCCACGCATCATCTCCTCCATTCTGAAACAAAGACAAATAAACGCATGCATGACATGCATTTTAGCTTTGAACAACCAAAAATTCTCCTTTGATGTAGCTACTGAATGAGGCATAACATTGTTCCAAGTTATAAAAAAGTGGAAATGAAAACCAAAAGTAAAAATGGAATACCTGAAGAAAGATTTTTGGATAGAAACACCTAAATCACCAGCTGAAGAAGCTTCATTCTTGAGCACCTGAGTGTGCAGATATTTTGCGCAGAACTTGGCAACTACTTTTCCTGAAAACACAAAAGATATAAGGTAAGGCCCATGCTATCCCGATTTAGCAAACCACAGTATGGACATTTGAAAATATAATCAGATCACATCATTTACTTTGAATGCTAAGGCTCAAGCATGCCAACATGAAAATGACAGCTAAATAGAACATTTTATAACATCAGCTTTTCAAAGCCTCTTTTTGCCAAAGCAAACCGAGCAAGGCATTTCATAACCTCTTTTCTTAATCAAGCACGACTTTTCCTTAGCTTCTACGCTAAAAAACCGAATTATGAAATTTAAACCAAATGGATATTGAAGCATTAGGCAATAGCAAACACTGTTTTAAATATCGGCCGATAACCGATATTATCGGCCGAGTTATCGGATTTGGGAGCTCTCTGATAGGATAACTTGGATTTTTAATCGGTTATCGTTTTTGACAAGTTATCGGGGAGTTATCGGCGTTATCGGTACTTATCGGCCGATAAGTAAGGTTTTTTTATCGGGATTATCGGCCGATAAGTAAGGCTATGCAATCGAATGGTTTCATCGTGCGGTCAAGATGCAAGTTTTGCTTTCTACAATTGGTTAGTGATTCTAAACATGATGATTTACATTTTGGTATGTTTATATTTCATTAAGCATGGTTAGATTACATTTTTTAGTTATTATATTATATATATACACCATCTAGTATATCACTCCGATAAATACTACTTATCCCCGATATATCCCCGATTTCCGCTATCCGATAAGTATTTTGGCCGTCCGATAAATTCCCGATAACTGATATTTAAAACCTTGCTTAGGCAATAGCAAATGATTCACAATTAAACATGAGAAAAATACCAAATTCATAAAATATCATGTTATACTCAGAAGCCACATAGTTAGATATAGAAGCACATCTGCGCAAATGAGCTAATATGTATGAATATAAGAATACAACTATACTACATGCAAGTTATCCTTGAAATGATGCATTACCAAATGAGTGAAAGATTGTATACAACCAAAGGTCATAAAAGGTTAATTCAAATACTCCATCGTTGGTGTAGTAGCAATCCTGAGGCAGCATCCTCAATATATGCCTTCTGAACAATGGTGAAAATGTAAATCACTATCGAGTGATTATTAAGTTAGGTTCCCACATTCTAGTGCCAAAAAAGAGAGTAGTTTATAGGACCTCAAATAACCATACTCCAGTGTGCAATATGCTAGCAGGCCCAGGCACCAACCATTTAATCCATATATTGTACTCAATAAGACAGGCTATAAATATTCTATAAAAATCATGAATCGCTTTATAAATAGAGAGGGAAGCATGACAACAATTTCTCCTCTCTTGACCAGATCTTTATAGGTTTGATCTCCTTATCTAAGGAATGCAGTTAGTAGACTTAGTTTATCCAAAGCCAATCAAAATTTATAATGTAAGATGTGTTTATTTGCTAGACAGCACTAAACTTTTGAATTAAAAAGGTAAACGTTATAAATCAAGCAAATTACATCTTCAACCACAAAGACACCTGATGTGGGCAAACCACAAATTTTAGATGTGTGAAGAATTTGGTAACACCTAACAATGATCATACCAAGAATGCCAATAATGTGAAAAGAACAAAAGTAAAAGGCATTCAGTAGGTTATATGATGGTCATAAATGTCAAATGATAGAAGCAGGTGGTTCAAATATAACCATTGCTCATCAATTCAACATAAGCCCATGTCACTCCTCAACTTTCACCAAATAATTAAATAGTTAGCCCAGGAAACTCCTCATGTTTAATAAAAAATGATGCATGATCTTTAAATAACAAATTGACTTTAGAATGAGTAAGATAGAATCAAAATCAAACCTCCGATTTCTAACATAAGTCCAACATGTGTTTGTCATTGCATAAAATGCATCCTATTGTTTGCATCATTGCAATTCCCGTCCAAAAAGAGGGAGAGTACTAAACCAAACATTAAAGTGATAAAAAAATAAAGGAGACTATGGCATCTAAAACAACTATCTTCTCTATTTCATTATCACCGGAGAACCAACAAACAGGACAGATTAAACAAATTACAGTAATCATCTCTAATACTAAGAAAATAAATGACTCTAATCATTTACATAATAAACAAATGATACTAATCAACAAATTGAAATCTTTAAAAGTGGATACAATTAGATTTCATTACATCATAGAGATACATAAATATATAAATAGATTGTTGGATCTATGAATGATATAGGAGTGATATAATTAATGCTTTGAGCCGTATCATATCCGGAAAGATGGTTATTTTCAGCAGTTACAACAAAAACCCAAAAATCAAATAGACTGGTAAATAAAGTAATTTTTCTTGAACTAATAATATTTCCATTTGCATGTATATTAAATACAATCTTCAATTGAAAGTTTCAATAATAATAAACCTTTTACACAAATTAAATTTGAGTGACCTTCAATACTGTTATCTTCAAAGAAAATTTAATTTGCCTAGTCTTAGAGATGACTGGACCAAAAGAACAACAATTCAAAATACCAACCTTGATAGGGGAAGTACAGAGTAACGGAGGCTGCTCTCTTCCACTCTCTGGCTCACAGACAGAAGTACTGAAGAAAAGCAAAGATAAAAAAACAGAAGAAGTGTCATTTTTGTCTATCGAATCACAGACTACAAAAATAACCAACATGTGGTAGATTAATGTTTCAAGCAATATTAATGTTTTTTTAGAAGTAGCTTAATAAGCCTTTTAATCATCATCATAATCACATTGTTAATACCTTAATAAGCCATAGAAACAACTTTGTAAAATTTTTAGGCACATCCCCTAGCAAATGCTTGATGGAAAACTTGATGCTTGCAAGAACTTAAAGATGAAATAGCATATATATATATATGTATGTATGTATACGTGTGTGTGTGTGTGTGTACATACAAACATACATACACACACATGTGTATGTAGTATGTATGTATGTATGTATGTATATATGGAAAATATAAAGATCTAGAATTGTGTGTGTATATATGTATGTATGTATATATGGAAATAATCTTCACTAAAAGATCAAAATCTATGATAAACTACAAATTCCACACCGAGATCTAATTGCAGAGGATCAAGAGTTAGTCGATTCAAGCAATACCTCATCGTACTCTTTCTTATCGGCTTTGGGTTGCTTCAAAGAATCATAAAAGAGAATTAGTAAACAAATGTTAAAAGAAAACTTTAAAAAGTTAAACAAAACATGCATAAAAAAGAAATAAACATATTGAAAGAACTTTGAAGAGAACTGACCAAGAGTGGAATGGAACACACATTAGTTACATGTCTTCTACATAAATAATAATAAATGAAATGATATGAGCATGTAGTATAATATCAATATATTTGAATATTAAAAAAAGTTCCCACATAAAAGTTCCCGGCTATTCAAAATGGAAGTGATTGAATTACAAATTGAGGGTTCAGTTGAAATAAGATTAAATATGAGCACGTGTCATTAGGATGTTGTGATCACAATTATTATTAGCTATCAATAATTAAACAAAAAAAAAAGAAATACCTCGGATCAGATTTGAACAAAATAAAGGAGTTTTCTCAAATGTCTAGGCAACGGCGACAGAAGATATATTGGATCACTATACAGAAAAGGTCCAAAATAAATTTCATATAAATATAAGGGTAAGTTCCAAGAAACCTTCTTCATTTGTACCCTATTTTTCAAGAAAAACCCTCATCTGTTAAATTCAACAATACCCCCCCTCCTTAATCTATAGTAGTTATTAAAATTATTGATTTTTAAATAGTTTTAGAGCAAATGTATGAGGGCAAAAGATTAAATCCAAATTCAAGAACAACTATCTTGTTGTTTTTGTTTGATATCTTCTATCATCTCCTAAATTCATGAGAAAAATTATATTGCAAATGTACACAAAATCCAATCTTTTTTAAACCATGATCAGAAGATAACAGAACAATAAGTCCACAAAATAACTCTAGAATATAGAGAGAGAGATTTATATGTGACTTATATAGATTCACTAACGAAATTGATGGATTGATTCAATGTGAAAGGAAAGAATCATCGAGAAAATTTTGGAGAATTATAGAAATAAGGATAGAGGAAACCTTTACCCCTTGGTCTCTTCGCAAACGGAGTAGTCTATAGCTCTTCCAAGAAGAAATTCATTTGGTATATGGGAGTGATGGGAGTGAAGGAATAGTCCATAGCCTTCCAAGAAGAAATCTTTAAAACCTGAAATTAAAAAAGGCTCTAGAAGTTAGAAGGCTTCTACTTTACATCTAGATACACAAACCTTTATGTGCCTTTATTAAGTTGGATCTCGATCATCGCCACCTTATAATTCTGGTCCCTGTGCTGCATGCATTAGAGAAATTACATGCTCAATAGATGGGGATGGTGGTTATTTGACTGAAGAAAAATTGATAGCATTACATGCTTTAAGATATATTGAATGTGTTGTTCAACTATTTTTAAAGAACAAAATAAAAATAAAAGTAAGTGCAACATGTTAATGAACCATCAATTTCTTTGAACTATGCATATATTTTTGGTTAACTGAAGATAATACCCCTTCAGAGTTTTGTTGTTTTGATCTTATTACCTCATTGCTTTTAATCTTCGCAGATAGACCCTCTGAGTGAATTTTTTTACTCCTTTACACTCAGGAGTCTTTCTGAAATTTTTTGATGAACCATCAATTTCTTTTAACTATGCATATATTTTTTGGTTAACTGAAGATAATACCCCTTCAGAGTTTTGTTGTTTTGATCTTATTACCTCATTGCTTTTAATCTTCGCAGATAGACCATCTGAGTGAATTTTTTTTACTCCTTTACACTCAGGAGTCTTTCTGAAATTTTTTGATTTTAGAGATTATCGTAGAATCTGTGCAATGGACACATCTTATTCTATATGGCTTCGATTGATCATTCCAGGTAATTTCCCTGGTTAAGATTAAGAGGGAAGGTATTGATTGGTGTGAAGAAAATTCAGGAACTTTGCTACTCAGGCTTGATGGCCTCAAGGAGTACAATTTCATGGAAGAAGATGACACTTACTCAGAGTAAGATTAACTCGTTTGGCAAATAACCATTGTATATTAGTTCATCTTTCACGTATTAGAGAGCTTGTGCACATCTACTGATGGTAGATGGACCCAAAAAAAGTTACTGCCAGTATTCTTATTTGTTGTACAATACATAGAGCAATAAGCATAAATGGGATTGTTAGTGTATTTGTTTTGATTATAGAGTACATTGTAATTTATGGCCAGACTCTTCTGCTGGTGATGGAAATTCTCTGAACATTTTGGTCAAAAGTTGTTATTCAAATACATTAGCTTATTGAAACATGATATAGAAACTAAATTTCACTAATAAGAATGAAGAGAGGAACTACACATTTCACTAAATATCACTTAATCTAACAATATAATTACTCAATCAATCTACCCCTAAGAGTGTTCAACCTAAAATTTACTAATAACTTAATTCTAAATAATTAAGCATAAAAACAATTATAGGAAAAATCAGTTCAAAGATCTCACCTGACTGAAAAGGCAAATCAGTTCAAAGATCCGTTTCTAGGTCTACTACACATAATAGCCCCAATTATAGGAAAAAAAACCCACAGAAAATTAAAGAGCAAAAGGTCTGAAACCTTACCACTTGAGGAACCGATTCCTCATCGTTAAGATCTCTATATCCGCTCCCTGAGAAACCCTAGGTTTGGACAACGCATGCCCCCATGGCCAGCGGAGAAATCAGAGCCCAGTTCAATTCGATCCTTGAATTCGAGAATCGGTTGAATAATCCAATGATTGGTTGAGACTTGAGAGAGGGATCGAGATCGATGGAGACGAAAGAGGGAGGAAACTGGGAAACTTGAGAGAGGAGAATCGACCTTCGATTTCTCTGAAGGTTGCTGCGGCGTTGATGAGCTTAGGTTCCTCTTAGATGCGAACATCACGGGAGATTGGTGATCGTTATGAAACCCTAATTTTGGCATAGGAGACTCGAGGAGAGAGGAGAGGAGACGCTGGAGCTTGCTCGCCATTAATTTTTTTTTTGGGTTTTGATTCGGGATCCGCGAACTGAGAGAGAGGGAGGGAGGGACGCGAATCGATACACACAGATTCAGCAGAGGCTTGAATTTCAAAGAGATTTGAATTTCAAAATCTCAGTCTTCGTTCTTATTTCTGAGGGAAATCTGTCCGTGGAAATTAGTGTGCTCCATAATGAATTACTGTATGTGTGATGTGTGATCAGCTACAGTGTTAAATCTACTGTTCATTTTACTGTTTGATGAACAGTGGTTCTGTGATCCTCCTTTTTGTCTAAAGGAGTAGATATATTAAAGGTTTTACCCTAAAAATCCTAAGTTTCACCTAATTTATTTTTAAGCACGAATTTCTCACATAAAGAGCTTTATTTCTTCAGAAATTAAAGATTTACTTCATCATATTTAAACATATCTGGTTCTAAGATCGCTCTTAAAAATTTATTATTATTATTATTACTATTACTATTTATACTATACTATACTATATAATATAACTATAGTATACAATATAATTTAAATAATTTCATTTGCATAGTCATCTAATTACTTCATAAATCAGTAGGTAAGAGGCTATATTTTGAGCCTCAATGTTCAGGGTCCAACTCTTATGGTGCTAATTTTCCCCCCTCTAATGTTAATACTAGCTCTCTATACAATTGATTTTTATTTAGTTGTAGAAAGAAGGAAACAGAAAAGAGAGCCAACTCAATCCCTCACCTCCGCGCTGCTCCTTCCTCATCTCTATCTTTTCGATCCTATATTTTACACAGTCCTTAACATGCATATTCAAACCAAACATAATTAAAAAAAAATTCCAACCAGAAGAGTAAGCCTATAGTTCGTTAGAAACCTCACTTCTCTCTTGATATTTCCAATCAACTATAGATAGGCATTGTTTGCATCTACAGTTGACATCCAAAAAAAACATAATTAAAAAAAATTCCAACCACAAGCATAAATCTATAGTTATCTAGAAACTTCTCTTCTCCTAATATTTCAGTCAAAAACCCTATTTTGAATTCTCAGGTCATCACATCTCCACATCATCCTAGACCCTCCTTGATTAAAAAATGGGGAAATAAATTCATGGATCAAAAAGTAAAAGAAAGAAGGGAAAATTATCAAACTTAGATCGATGTCGAGGAGTAGCGGACGAGATTAGAGGAGAACGGATGAATAATGTGGATTGACATCGGCTTCATATAGAGGAGGATTGTGGGGGCGTTGTAGGATTTTGTGAAGTGGGTTGTTGATAATTTTGGAGGGGTTAATATTTTGGTAAGTTAATTTTTGGGGATTATTTATTTAGTTAAAACTTTGGATAGCATTAAGATTGTTTTTTTATCTTTCTATGTATACTTTCCAAATTGAATATATTTGTGAATTTTTCCTGTAATTTACCATAAGTTCTTTGACCAAAATTTAGTTTGATTTTTTTTCCCTAAATTATGTTCACGTGGCAGAGGCAAGGAGTTATGAAGAGAAAGGAAGCAAATTTGGTATAGTAGATGTGAGTTTGCTTTGATGTTTATTATTTTCATTTGCTTTGATTCTTATTATTTCTATTGTTATGTGATATAGTCCATGCTACAAAGGCAGAACATTTCAAGATTACAATACATAGGATCACATTTGGAAAGGGGAACACCAATGAGACCTCATCCAAATGAGGTAAATGAAGCTTCAATCATTTAGTTATTAATTATTTTCTCTTATTTAGATATATCCTAATGACATATGTTTAGATCCAATACATGCACATGGTAATTTGTTTCCACATTGTCATATATAATCAAATGAATTAAGTTAATAAATAAAATTCGTTTTAAGCATCCATGTACTTTCAAATGAATCTTTACAAGCATAATTTCTAAGTTGTTATCATTCATTTCTTAGAAACCTATTAGTACTTTGAAGAGTTCTCTAATACATTGGATCTCTAATTTGCCAAATTGTTAACTTGGGTTAAGTACCGTAACGCAATTGTGAAGCTTTTCATTATTCCTCTTTTTAGCTTCTTTTCACGCTAATGTCGCGGGACCGCGCGGGTCAATTTTGCTCGTTTATTACTAAATATATCAAAATTCTATTTGGTAGCCATTAATTTGGAATTCAAAAGGATTAAAAGTAAATTTAAAAAATACTAATAGTGAAAAAATAAAATATTAACATGTTAGAGTTATATAAAAGCAATCAGATAGAAATTTTTACATTTGCATAATAGACGATAATAGCGTGCCAATTTTAAACAACTTAATTCACATAAATACTGCCAACAACAGTTGAGGACATATAAACGCAAAGCTGAGGATATACAAACATATTAACAAGTAAGCCTGCTCTGATCACAACTACTCCAGTTACTGGTATGTCATATACCTCTTAAAAATGTACCATCTCTAACTTCCTTGTGATTACAAGCCCATTCTTTCAAACTCAATTCTCAATTGAAATATGAGATACATTTCTTTTTTTCTCTCGTGCATCACCACAAGCATGATTGAATACATATCTTTCGGCAATTCGCAGAGAAACGAAGACCTCAGAGATACTACTCTGCATTCAACTTGATAATTAGTATGTTAGTCTTCCCAACCTGCAGATATGCAGCAAGCGTTATTATGAGAATTGGCAAAATGGGGTTAATGGGTATCATACGTCATGTGAGGGGATTCCTTAAAATATCATTGACTGCTCAAAAGATGCGATAAGATTTGTAAATACAAACAGCCATCAAGATGGTAGCAAGCCAAAATTTAGATCCAATTCATGTGTTTGTCACATCATTTTATTGAAAACCTGGAGGAGAATTTGGGTGAAGATAAGAATTACAGGCATCATATCAAGTTAGAGATTGAGGTGATTTGGTCATGGGGAACGGAGGCCACAAAAATCTACATCAGCTTTGTTCTGTTGCTTATGGTTGTGAATAATAATGTGTGATGAATGATGAAGGTGGAATGGCTATAACTTGCAAATTCTGATTAATGAAAGTGTTGTTTTGCTAGGAAATGAATCAAGTTCAAGCAAAGCTATGTCTATCAACTGAGCAATAGCATTGTTTGTCTCTAATGTCACACTGGAACATGAAAGGTGGAATACAAATCCCATAAAAACCACCCCTATAAGAGTGGGCCGTCTTGCACTAAAAACATAATAGTTAAAATTCCAAAAATAACCCTCTACCCACTGGTGAAAGACATAAATTATAGATCACCCTATTATATGCGGGAGTTCTAATAAAATCTGTATCTGAAAGGTGCTTATGATCTTGCAAATAAGGACATTGGATTTCTTCTCTTTTTCTTTTAAACTGACAGGCAATGGTAGTTTTTTCTCATTTATCTTCTACACAAAATTTATTATTATCAAGTTATCAGGCAAACAATAATTAGTATTGTGTGAGGGAAGAACTACACACAAGCATTAGTAGAAAAATTTTCGTTTACAGTATTATACTACCAGGAAAAGTATAAAAGAAACAAAGAAAGAAGAAAAAGAAAATAATGTTACGCGCTGATAAATAATATGATTATCAAAACAATCACAACCAGTTCAAGCTTAAATTTGATTCAAAACTTTTTTTGGTTTTGATGGTTTTTGTTGTTTTTTTTATGTGGTTTGGGAGGGGGAGCGGGGGGGGGGGGGGTTCTCAACATATTTAAAAACTATGAAACATAAACTTCACAAAGGCCGGTATCTCATAATGCCACAGATAACTGCAACAAAATACAGAGTGACCTAAATTAACCTTACCTATTTAGTTAATCCTTTAGGCAGACAAACAATTTTTTAATGAAAAGAAATACGAGCAATGCAAACATAAGACAAAATAAAACAACAAGGCTTCGAACCTTGACTTGGGGGCCAATGCTGTTCTTTGAAGGTTTCTAGCCTTCTCATTGTTGATTGAATATTAATCGACAGTGTCTCATTAATCTTGGTAAGCTCAACCGGGGCTAGCAAAGCATTGAACTTGAAGCTAGAGAGCCTTGCAGAGGTTTCCTTTCTCAAAGAAGATACATGAGGTTCGAGGTAATTCCAACCGTCCCCAAGCACACCCTTCATGCTCGCAAGGGCACTGGATCTTGCTAGGTCCCAACCACTATCACTTGTAGTAGGAGCTGAAAATTAGGTATTAGTTCAAGATTAATCCACAGCACCAAACAAAAGGAAAGATTACAAACTTTTAGCATTTGACGGTTGCTACATTGTCTAGTCAAAGCTATACAACCATCATGTTGAAGTCTTAGTAGTTTCACGCTCAGGATTGGATTCACATTAAACTATGGGGAATGAACAATCATCCCAATTTATGCTTCAAATATGTTGATGGCTTGAATTCACTATTTACAGTTGGAAGCCTTATGCATGAGGATCACTCAATATTTTCCATAAGATATTAGATGTTGTTCGGCAATAGGTAGAGTTTAAAAGCAAGTCCAGGCTAGTAAAACAGAGATAATAATCTGACCTTCGATTAAGTAAACCATATGCTCTTCAAGCATATGGATAAGGTACTTTTGGAAGATATAGTGTTTTTAAGTAAAAACAGCCAGAAGAAAAATCTGAGCCTATGTTGGAAATTTACAGTAGCTAGTCCTTAATTGTGTATTTTAGTCTTCAAATTCACCTATTGGGAAAGGATGATATTTACTTTTACTCTTTTAGTGCATGAATGATCTCATTACTGATCTAAGTTTTGGTTTCTCTGTGTCACTTGAGTTATGAAGAGTTATTAGCATTTATTATTTGCCATTTTTGTAGTTATATTTTGGACCAAATGTAAGGCCTTGTATTTATATATTTTCAAAGCAAGAAAAAGTAATATCTTAAGTCTCATTCATATGCATTGCTTATTTTAAGTGATTGGCATCAAGAGACCAATTTATCTTATCTTGTCTTCTCATTCCCTTCAGCTTTCTCTAACAAAGGTGGTATTAAAATCTTGTTTGAAGTGATTTATGGCATCAAACAACATTTTGCAACCCAACTTCTAAGTTCGATGGGAGAACTATCTATCAATGAAATATCCAAATGAAGGCTCTGTACGAGTCACAAAAACTATGGAGCCTCGTCAGAACCGGAGTTATGGAACTGGCCAACCAAGGTATAGTCCCTGAGGTACTAACTGAGTTGAAGAAAGAAAATCAAAAGAAGGAGAAGAAGGCATTGTACTTCATCAACCAGCCGGTAGATAAAGATATCTTTGAGAGAATATCTATATCACCAGCATGAAAAAGGAGACGTGACAGAAGACAAGAGAAGAAAATTATTCTCTTAATATCAAGAGGCATACAATTTTACTTTTTTTTTACTGATGAGCATGAAGACACAAGACTATATATAGACCAAAATATAAATCTAAAATTAGCGACATAGTAAATGCTAATAACTCTTCATAATCTAAACACATAGAGATGAGAAGTCATACTTTAGTAAAGGAGATCATTCATGCACTCGAAAAAGATCATCTCATTTATTGACACATGACTTTTGGTTTCTCTATGCCATTTAAATTATGAAAAGTTATCAGCATTTAATATTTTGCTGATTTCAATGTTGCATTTGGGTTATATATAGGAGCTTTGTTACAGGGACCCAAAATATGGGACCAATAGGGGGGACAGGTAAGGTGTCCCCCTCCTATTGCATAATAAGCTGGCAATCATTAATAATTTGATTACCAGCTCATTATGCAATAGAAGGGGGACACCTCACCTGTCCCCCTGTTAGTCTCATATTTTAGGTCCCTGGGAAATTTTTCTATATATAGAGTCTTGTATCTTCATGCGGTAGAACAAGATCATTTCATTTATTGACGCATGACTTTTGGTTTCTCTACGCCATTTAAATTATGAAAATTTATTAGCGTTTAATATTTTACTAATTTCAGCGTTGCATTTGGGTTATATATAGTCTTATATCTTTGTATTTCATAAGGAAAAACATAAAATTTTTAGTCTTTTTCTCACACACACACAAAGCTAAAGCTGTGAGAAAGTACCTTGATTCGCCAATTCGACCGTTTCCACAACACTAGTATCGACAGTACTCCATAAATATTGGCTCATACAAGACTTTTATTTGGCTAATCCATTGACGATAGTTTTTTCCCATTACAGACACGTGTTTTTTATGTCGTGTATCACTTTAGATACAGGGGTTTGTTAGCACATTGTTGGAATGAGAGAAGATATGGAGGAATGAGAGAAGAAGAGTCAAAAATTGTTCTTTTAATACCAAATAGTTAGAAAAGTTAGTCTAGTCAGTGTTAGTCTGGTTAGTGTGTCTGAAGAAGAGGTTTAATGTTTTACCTTTTTTTTCGCTTATGAAATATGAAGATACAATGCTCTCTGTGTAGACCAAAATATAACTCGAAAGTTAGAAAACAAATGCCAATAACTCCTCATAACCCAAATGACACATCTACTCCTCTATACTTAAAGGAGGATCCAATGATATACTATTCATGCTAAAAGTAAATGTTGCAGTAAATTACTGTAACATGGACAGTAAATATTTATCTCCTTCAAGTATAGCGGAATAATCTATTACTGTTCATACTAAGTTTACTGTACCATGAACAGTAGATCTTGGATCCTCCTTTAAGTATAGAACAGTTGATATGATTTCTAATTTTAAATATAATATACAATAATCAAGTCAAATATATTAAACCTTAGAGAGAGGCATGTTCAAAATGTAATGCTTACAAAAATAGGGGGCCGTGCTTTGCACGAGGTACACACTAGTAATAAGGAAACTAAAAGTTAGACATTATTAAATAAGATCATCCCAACACCTAAAGTAGCAAGAAAGTATCTCGTGGGTTGTCCCTGTCCATGAATTCAATGTGTTGATGCTCCTAGTCAATAAGGAATTTACAGTAGAAAAATTTATCCATTGTGGCAAATAGAGTCTTTATCTTTCGACCTCTCTATAACCAAAGTAGGAAAGTTAACAGCTAGAAAGTTGATGGAGAGAAGAAGCGCAAATAGTTTTTGTGACCATGACGTGCTTTAAAAGGAGCCTGTATATCATAATAGCTTGCAAAGTTTAACAATTGGAATACTTTCCTTCATTATAAGCTATCAATCAGCTAAATAAACCCAATTTTGGGTATTTTCATCTGTTAATTAAAAAAGAAAAAGGAATAAAATGAAATCTTAGTACATGCACAATTTAAAATTCAAATTTGCTAAAATGTTACAGATTGATTAGCATTATTTGACAAGAAACAAAAGAAATTATGCTTCGTATTGTCCCTAACCATGAATTAAATGATTTGGTGTTCCTAGCCAATAAAGAAATTACAACAGGAACAATTATCAACTCTGGTTAATAGAGTTTCAACTTTCAAGACCTTCTCTCTAGACTAAGTAGGACATTTAGCAACTAGAAAGTTGATGAAGAGAAACAGTCACAGTGACAACGGGTGCTGACAACTTTTGTGATTATGGTAGGTTAGAAAGGAGTCTACATATCATAATTATTTGCAAAGGTTAACAACTCATACAACAAACTTTCCTTCCTTGTAAGCTATCAATCTTGTAAGTTATCAATCAACTAAATGAACTCAGTTTTGGATACTTTCATCTTTCAATTAAAAAAGAAAAAAAAAACAAAAGGAAATCTTAATAGATGCATGATTTAAAATTCTAATATGCAAAAAAGTTGTAGATTGATTAAGCATTATCCAACAAGAAAAAAATATAACTTAATTAACTAAAACTTAAACGAGTTTGAAACTCGCTTTGCAAATTGAGTTGATTCCACTCTTAAATATGTTCAACCCAAAGAAATCATAACCCGTTTCTAAGTCATCTTTCAAGAGCTAAAAATGTTGTCATCTAGAAACCCATTGGTGTGTATCTTACTACTTTTATGTTACAATTATATGAAAGTTGCTTGAGCAAAGAAATTTAAAGTCTATTAGAAATTTCTTGTTTGCATTTCGTATCATTTCATCTCGGCACAAAAAGTAACAATTTAGATGCCCATAATTCAATAAATAGTTTACAATGTTGTTAATGAGAACATGCTCGGATAGATCTAGATTCAAGGGAAAGATGATGAAACTCAGAAACTACTAGCATAAAATGGGTTAGAGCCTAACTAAAATTAGAGAGAGCGAGGGTTTGGGACAAAGAAGAAGAGAAAATAGTTTCACAAGGGAGGTACAAAATCCAATGAAATTAAATGAGGAAGAGAACATTTTCAAGGGGCAGATTAAACTAAGTTTGCCAGCAGTCAATTATTTATTCGCTCAGAACGAAAAATCATCAAGTCCATGTAGTAGGACGGTCCAGTGGATACTTTATCAAATAACATAATAGCATAATTTCCCAAGAGGTGCTTGGGGGGAAAAAGACATAAAAGTTAGGTTAAAGCCTGAAAAACCACTAATTGATCAAGCTCAAATATAAGCCTAGTCAAGCCTAGCTACGCGAAAGGTATTTCACTTATTTATCTGAACTTTAGTTTGTTCATTCATTTAAACTATTAAATAAGCATGAACAAGCTTTATTGAGCCAAACTCAAGCTTCCCAAAACCCATTCAGAACAAACTAGCTACTTTGTCATGAACCTAAAAAGAGGAAATTTGAACAAACAGCCCTCTTCACACCCATTTTCAAATGGGCAAGCAACAGATCAAGTTGATATGCTGATATGCTTAACAGCCTAAGAGATGGAGGCTCCAATCGAAAGGAAAGCGAGTGATCCAGAACTACACTGGACCAAATTGACCATAAAAAGGGTTGTAAGTTGTAACCAACTCAAAAGCAGCCAACAATGTCAATGTAGCAACTCATTAATTTTCCAGGCAGAAAAGTTTCAGTCTTGAGCTACTGAAAACAAGATCATATCCGTTAGTGTATAATTTTGAGGATCATAACCGATAATGTATAATTTTGAGTTGATTACTAAGATCATGATACTACCCACTAAGCAGTGTCAAGCTCATAAACGGCAGACCTCAATGGGCACATTTGCCAATTAACCAAGGTACCTGCTAGGCTCGAATTAGTTAGAACATGTTCTAATTTCTAAATCATTCCCAAGGAGAACTTTTGCAAAAACTCCATCTTTTGTGTCATATTTGCATTCCATTGAATCAAATACCTACTCTATGTAGCAACAAGGTGTGCTTAGTTACATAATATGACCCCCTTCTACGAGTTTCAGTCGCACTGAACAAGACCATAACCAATTATATAAAATTTTGAAGAATAAAAAGACCGCAAAGCTAACTATTAAAGCAATATCAACCTCATAAGCTGCAAACCTCAACGAACACGCTTCCCAACTGCCCTAGAGATGTCATAATCCCGAATCACTTAGTAAGGAAATCATACCCGAACAAATAACTTGCACAACAACTCAAGAATACCACATTCACAGCCCAGTGAATTAACTACCTACTCTACGTAGCAACAAGACGAGTTTACTTAAGTAATATAATCACATTCCATGAACAAAAACTCTAAATAACTAATCATTCAAGGAATAACTTGCGTCATATTCACATTTTAATTAACTCAACTGCCAGCTAAAATAGCAACAAGGTCACAAAGCAACAAGGTGTCATTAGTAAAGTAATGTAAGCAGATTCTATGAGCACCATACCGTTATGCATGCCGTTCATCGGAAGCCCGACACCAATACCAGCAAGCGTAAAACCAACACTAAACCCTACGCCGCAGCCTGCCCCAACATACCCAATGACCTCCGGGCCAAACCCTGGCCCCCACCCGACTCCGCAACCGATACCGATCCCCATGCCCCAAAAGGTTCCCAGAGTAGGATGCACCGGGTTCCACCTCTCATACCTCTTGAAAAGCCCCTTTATGATCATCCCAACCTACAAAGTTTACATTTTTGTCAATATTGTGCTAAAATTACAAACACTTTTATTACAGCTACGATCATAAGATATTGACAAACGGACCGGTTCAATCTGTTTGAAAAGTCTAGGTCTTCTTTGAAGAAAAATTAGTAAAGATGAAGGCTTTCTAGTTTTGAGTGTCCTTAGAGAGATCATTTTTACCCACTATGTTTCTCCCCTCTTTTTATATTGACATAAACCATAAATCAAGAAAAGAACAAGGAATGATCAACTGCAATCTACATAACCAATCTAAACAAAAATAAAATGAAATAAAATAAAATAATTGAAATTTGGCGAGCACCTGCGAATGAATCATAAGACTATGATAAAACAATGAGTGCCCATTTAATTTTTTTTAAAAATTGGGGTTTCTTTACTTCAAAACATTTATCAGAAGATCCAGTTAAAAAAAATATATCAAATCAAATCTTTCCTATTTGAGTATGACCCCTCACACTGGTAATGGCTACACTTACGCAAAAGAGACCATTCTATTACCCAATAATTTTCGGCACTTTACAAATTGGAATAACTCCATAAAAATCACACGAGAGCAACGAGTAATCAATCACCATCCAATTAGCCGATAAAAAATAAAAATAAAATTTAAAAGTACTGCAATTTCGCAAGATATTAGAGATTGGACGAGGAAAGTTAACAGCTTTCGTAGAAAAATAATGATGAGAAAATAAATATAATTACCAGATTTCCATTACCATCGATTCTGTGGGAACCCAACACCGGCGGACAAAAAACTTGGAACGGCTGTCGATGTAATCTTGATTTATCCGTTGGGTTTTACCAATTCGCCCTGATCTTTACTATAATCACACAATTTACCCCTGGTCCCAAACGGGTCGGGTATAAGTTGTACTGGTTAAAAATAGAGGATCCGAACCCGATCCAAAAGGAGGGTCACGTCTGCAACGGCTACTTTGTTGTTTTGACTCCTGTGTTGGGTATTAAAGCGAGCAGCTCAAAAAAAGGAGAAATTTTGAAAACCATCTGGTGGTTTAAAAAAAAATTTCGCAAAAAACGATCTCTTCTAAAAATAATTATCAAAACCGATATAGTTTTAGCCGTCGGGCTGAAAACTGGGTCGGTTTTGACAAAAGTTTAGCACTGCCTAATGTTAATAGATTAACGTTATTATAGGGTGCTAAATTTCACGGGACTTCAAGTCCCGTGAAATTTCATAGTTTTTTTTGTTAAAACCGATCCAATTTTAACCCGACAGTTGAAACTTAGGTCGGTTTTGATAATTATTTTTATAAGAGGTGACAATTATTTTTAGAAGAGATTGTTTTTTACGATTTTCTTTTAAATCGGATGGTTTTCAAAATTTGTCCCTCAGAAAAAGCAATAACTAAAATATTAAAAAAAGCTGCCTTTTTTATTTTCTTGTATTTTGTCGTCTCCACTTAAAACCCTATCATCGGTCTCTCCTCAGATCTCGAGAGCAATTTTTAGTTGATCGATCGAGGGACGAAGAAGGAAAGTTCAATTCTTTCTGAATCCTTTTTCCACATTCAGGAAGAAAACCATGAACCTATTCAAGAAGAAGCCCTCAGCCAAAGGTCAGCCTTTTCTTCGCATTTCCCGCCCTTTCTCTTTTCTTTTATTTGCCCATTTCGATTCTCGGGAGCTGGCGGTTAAAATGCTTGACAATGAGCGGTTTCTTGGAATTTTGAGAAAACCCCCAGTTTTTAGGGTTCTGTGAACTGAATTCATCGTCGATTTCTTGTTGCAGAGGAGCTGAGGAATAGTAAGAGGGAAATGACAGTTGCCACAAGAGGTGAGAATTTTATCATCTTTATTTTTTTGATTCAATTTGAATGATTTTGTGTGATTCAAGTGAATCTTTCAACATGTAATTTTGTGGAACTCAAAGAAACAGATATTGATTTAGTATTGATTATGTACTTTGTCTATAGGTGTTGAGCGAGAGATCGCATCCCTGCAACTGGAGGTTTGTTAGAATTAATTTGCAATTCTTTTGATGGAAAAAAGAGTTTGCACTTTTTTTTTTTGCCCATAATTTACAAAAGAGAGAAATGTGGCAGGAAAAGAAGTTGGTGGCAGAGATAAAAAGGACTGCAAAAATTGGATATGAGGTGAGTATTTTCCTCTCTCTCTCTCTCTCTCTCTCTCTCTCTCAGTTTTGAGTTAATCTGCTCCTTCTTTTCTTTTGTAGAAATGTTGCTATTTTTTTGAACTTTTTTGCTTTTTATGTCATTTATACTTCCATGATGTACTTAGCTAGTGTACTTGATTAGTGTAATTTGTTAAAAGTTTCTAATGAGCTAATTCATGTTAGGAATTAACAAGTTTGTCCTTCTTTAGTCTTTTTCAGGTTTCATGTTGCTCGGTACCTTCTTTAGTCTCTTACAAATGTTACGATGAATTTGAACATTTCTGATTGTTATGTCATTTATATTTCAATGAAGTACTTAGCTATATGTATTTGGTTGGTACAGTAAGGAACATAGTTTGTTAAAGCTTGCTAGTGAACTAATTCATGTTAGGAAATTACAAGTCTTCTCCTTCTACCTTCCTGCAATATGTAACTTCTAAAATATGGAAATGTATAGGATAATGTAGCATAAACAATTGACAAAATTTTGTTTAATAATAAGAACACGGATTGATGCGAGTCCTGGCCTCTTCTTTTTACAATGTGTTCTTACTGATGTAATGGAAACGAAAACAAAAATGAACTTGTACTACAATGACCTTTTAGTAGAAAATACACAACCCTCAAGTTCAGTGACCCAATAACCTAGTTGAGAACTATGGAATGAGGGTTGAAGAAAGAATGATTTTTTGCTCATTGGTCATTGTACCAGTGTATCTTACTATATCATAGGAGCAAAACACTGGAACAAGTGAAAATAACCAATTGCAGGGCTACATTAACAGAGTCAATGTTGAAAATAATGATAACACATAATGTAATGCTCCACCTCCTATTAAAGGTTAAAGAAAAAGCGTAACGCATAATGTAGGTTATTTTTAAATTAATTATTTACATATTTTATAAAATACAAACTATTCATAATGACTTTAATAATTAGAATGATCAAAATTTCAAACATAACATCACAATTACAAACAAAATATTTTCATACTGTTTAATTTAAAAAATAGAAAAGATGTTAATAATAATTTAAAGAATTTGAAACAAAATATCATAATATATATTTTAATAAAAAATATTTGATATGATACAAGCTATATAAATTTACTAGGAAGTATCACAATCGAATACTCAAGTATATAATCATAAATTTATAGCTCGTTCATAATTATATTTGTTTTATTAGTCATATTCATAATTTCACAATCATGTAATGATGTCACCAAATAAGACAAGAAGGCTTAACAAAGAAATCAAAAGTAATTACTTTACTTCAAGTTTTAAGAAAGAATATACTCTCAAGTCTCTAGAACTCATATTGAAATAACATAAGTTATATTGAAATAAAACATAATATTATGCAATAATGTAAGTTATATTGAAGTAAAGCACTTTATACAGTAATAACATAGAGTTATGATGTATCTGAGTTATTTCATAAGGGTACACAACATTAAGGATGGTTAGGTTATATAGCGCAATATAACGAGTTATGTAACGGGTTTTTTCAACAAAAAGAGTGTCATGTTGTATAATTATTTGGTTATTTATCTTCCCTTTCAGGCTGCCACGAGGATCTTGGCACGCCAACTTATCCGTCTAAGGCAGCAAATCACTAACTTACAGGGAACCCGTGCACAAATAAGAGGGGTAGCCACTCATACACAGGTTAGTTGCTTAAAATTCTATCAGCTATGCTTGCAATCTCCTTGGATACTTTCCAATTAGAATGTTACATTAATGTTTCTGATAACCAGGCTATGTATGCAAGTACTTCAATCTCAGTTGGAATGAAAGGAGCAAGTAAAGCAATGGCAGCAATGAACAAGGTATCACATGCTTGAGAGCTTGATGTCATGTATTTCACTGGATGCATATAGTAGAGTTTGGGGGGAAATGTACTATTTTGATTTGGCCATGTACAAATTTTTGGAATCCTTTCTGGAGATCCTTTTGTTAGTTCTGAAGTTTGTTGTGCATTTCAGCAAATGGAACCAGCGAAGCAGGCAAAGGTGATGAAAGAATTTCAGAAGCAATCAGCCCAGATGGACATGACGGTAAAATTATCTCAAGATTTTATTTTCTGTTATGCTTTAATGTTGTTGAGACTGTTCCTCTTCCTTATATTGTTGTCTGTTTAGATGTCTATGCAACATTTATTTTTCCGTTTAAAAATATTTGAACATGTTCTCCTTTAGCACCCAGGCAGGTGCTTACTTCATCAGTTCATCTCCACTTTGTAGACCCTTCGTGGTCTAGAACAAGGTTATACTTTCTTGTATTCATGGCCATTTATCAGGCAAGAGAAATAGACAAAATGTGGCGATGAAGAATAGGATGACATGTAAATATTGTTCTGTTTCTTTTGTTCCGTGAAGTATCAACTTCTCCATTTCCTATTTGAAAGTGGAGAATCTGAAAGCTTGTAAAAGATGTAAAAGAATTGATTGTTCCATTGAATCATTTTAAACATACAGAAATCTGCACGCCAAGAATTAGTTTATGCAATATTTATGTGCATTTAATTATCACTAAATTTAAGTTGGTGCTTAACGCAAATAGGTTCAGGTTTAAGTTGTAAGTTGTCTATAATTTGCACCAAATACGATAATGCTTAGTTCCTTTATGATGACTGTAAGTCATTAGTCTCATACTCTATGATTCAATCAATTGTTATTCTTAGCTTATCCTTCCTTCTTCTACATTTCTCTTCAAGGTTACAGAAGGTGCTAGGCGGCCCAAGCGTTGGACCCGACGCCTAGACGCCTAGGCAGAAATCTAGGAGGGGCCTAGGCATCTTCCTATTTTTCTAGTTTTTAATTACAATTACTGGTAGTAAATGTTAATATTATAGAATGCTTAGGCGTTGTACTGACACCTAGGCATATTTCTTAAGTGGTGGTGGATGATGTTTTGTTCAAGGTCAGGAGAGGTGGAGGTGCTCATAGTTGGAGTTTGGAGGAGGTTGGAGGCCATGGAGGTTGCAATGGAGGAAATTATGATCGATGTCTAAAGGGTGCAGTCCATGTAGGCAGACCACACTCCCCTACACGCTCCCAAAATATAGGTGGGCAGTCTAGGTACCGTCCAGGCGCTAGGCACTAGGTAGTCAGCCAAGGTACCACCTAGATCTAGGCGTACGTGTAGGTGAGCGAGGCGGAGGCTTTTTAAAACATTGTTTCTCTTTTCTCTTCTCTCTTTTTTACTTCTCCCTAAAGTCAATATATTTAGCAATTTATAAGGGACTTGTGTATGTTTCTGAACTTTCGCATAAATTAAACCTCAACTACTACGTAAACCAAGTGTCTTCATAATTAATAATCTCGTAATCCTATAGTTTGGTCTCTTTAAAAACTGGTATTATGATCCCGGCTTGTTCATGCCCCCACTTGCATTCTACCAGGCTGTCAGTAACTATGCATTTTGGCTTCCTCCTTTACAGCATTTATGTAAGGCCCTTCCTTGTTGGTTTTCTAATTCCCTGCCAATAATCTGATTGTCTTTCAACTGTTCTTTTCACTTTTAACTTTCACGTTTCAGATGTCCCTAGATTTGATAATCATAGAATGTTTAATTAAGACATGTTACAATTTGACATGATAAGAATAAATAAATAAAGACTGACGTTGACATCACGAGGACATGTACATTATGTGTGACTTCAATAATAACAACATTCTTGAGAACTAGGAGGCTGGCTAGAGAATTGCACCTTATACACCATCTGTTCATCTTTCTTTGAGCTAGGCAGGAGATGAATTTAATGGGAAGCGAAGAAAGTGCAAGTAACTATGTTGTACGTTAGAAAAACTAAACAAACTTTTATTAATGTAATTGAAGGCACCTATACAAAATGGTGGCATTATAAGTCATACAATGAAGGGGTATCAGGTATGCCTCATATTCTAAAATATATGCACAAACCTTTGGTGCTTCTAGAATTGGAGTATGCCTCATATTCTATTAAAAAAATATAATTATTTTATATATGACTGAACTATTCTTAAACGACAAAATTAATTCAAATCAGCATTCCACCTCCTTCATCATCAGCACATCCTGACCTCTCCCTACTTTACTTCCTTCCCCCCACTACGCCTATTTCTTGCACCAGTCTAACCACCCTCCCCCCACCTTTGGTGCTTCTAGAATTGGAGTATGCCTCATATTCTATTAAAAAAATATAATTATTTTATATATGACTGAACTATTCTTAAACGACAAAATTAATTCAAATCAGCATTCCACCTCCTTCATCATCAGCACATCCTGACCTCTCCCTACTTTACTTCCTTCCCCCCACTACGCCTATTTCTTGCACCAGTCTAACCACCCTCCCCCCA